TGGAGACGGGCTGGGGGCCCTCAGCAAGTTTCTGCCGACTTATTCGTCATCTACAGTACACTGCTTTAGAACCAGCCCCATCTACATTTCTTCTGCCGGCTTGCTGCCGGGGGCCCGGGCGCTGTCCCCGGAGGCTCCTCGGCTCCCCAGGCTCCTGAGGAGGCGGGGTCGGCAGGGAGTTCCCCGCATCCCCACATCCCTGTATCCCCACATCCCCACATCCCTGTATCCCCGCATCCCCGCATCCCTGCATCCCCGCATCCCCGCATCCCTGCATCCCCGCATCCCCGCATCCCCGCATCCCCGCATCCCTGCATCCTGCCGCCCGGGCTCCGCGGCCCCTCCGCGCTGCCCAGCAGCCGCGGCAGCGCTTCAAAGGCCGCGGTGGGCTTGCAGGGGAGGAAGCTGGGGCCGGCGGAATTTGGGAGAGGGCGACCCTGGCAGCCCAGCCCGCGCAGGGGACCTGCTCGGGGCAGGGCAGTTAACAAAGCGCTCCTTCCCACTCCTCTTAGCACCTCGCTAACTAGCTTGCCTCCTCCCACCGCCCAATTAGGCCTTTTCTATACATTTAATCGAATAAATATTTGGAAATGCTGCTAAGTGGTAGGTTGAGCCCGAGCAGAGGAGGAGGGGGGCTTGCGGGCGGTGGCAGGGGTGGCGAGGGTCGCTGTGTGCGCCTGTGTGTGTGTGCGTTCCTCCTCCGGCTGCCCCGAGCGCCGCGGGCTGCGGCTTCCCCTTTCCCGGGGTTTCTCCACACGCCCTTGCCCCCGGGAGGCACCTTTGGGTAGCTCGGCTTCCACCCATCGCCTTCATCCGCAGAAGGAGGGTGGTAAGTCCACTCTAAGGGTTGGGGTAAAGGATAAGCCCCACTCTCCCCGTGTCCGTCGAAATAAAGTGGAACTGGGGAGGGAGCGTGGGTGTGGGACTCCATCACGAGTGACCTGTCTCATCGCCACCAATAAAATCGACGGATCAAGATGCAAAAGACTTTTTTCCTACTGAGGTAAATGGAGGGTCTTGCACGAAAATCTGGCTCGGGGTCACTGCAAGTGTCAGCAGAAGTAATACAAGAAAAGGTGGATTCTGCGTGGGTTCACTCGCAGGAGACTGGTTGGTTACCTACACAAAGACAGAAATGTCTTTTATCTGACAGAAAGGGCTGAATAGGACCTCCGGTTTTGCTGGTGTTTTGTTGTGGTTTTTTTTGGTTTTTTTCGGGTTTTTTTTTTTTTTTTTTTGGTTGGTCCGTTGAGGTTGTTTGTTTTGGGGTTTTTTTGGTTGTTTTGTTGTTGTTTTTTTTATTTTGTGGTTTGGGTTTGATTGTTTTGTTTTTGTTTGTGGTTTTTTGTTCGGTTTTTGTTTGTTTGTTTGTTTTTGAGGGGAGTGTGTTTGTTTGATTTTTTTGGTTCGGTTTGGTTCCTTCTCATTACCTGTGGGGTGTGGCAGCCAGACTCCCCTTCCCAACAGACAGCGGATGCGACCAGCCCCGAGCAGGCAGGGCTGGCAGGGACGGTGGCACTGGCTGGCCTGGATGGACTCTCCGACAGATGGACAGAGGGACGCAGCGCTCAACAGCGATGTCAGGGCTTGGTGCAGCCGCCCCCTCCAGCAGTGTCCCGGCGCGCAGCCATTCACTGGGAGCGTCCGCGAACGCGTGTGCACGGCTGCTACAGGCACTGTCGACATGCTTCCTCCGGTTTCATGGGACATTTAGACTATTCAAAGCGTTAGTTTATAAGTCTTGAAATAGCGGGTAGAGCTGTCTCCTCTCCTCTCCTCTCCTCTCCTCTCCTCTCCTCTCCTCTCCTCTCCTCTCCTCTCCTTTTTATTTTTTTAGATCCACATATGTGTCTTCTCTGCTCTCTGTTTCACTGTGACAGGCAGAAATTGAGGTTCCCTTGCCCTTTTCCACGCTTGTTCTGTTTCTTTTATATCTTTGGAACTAATTTCGGAAACTGCATGATCTCCACGAAACCTGTCTATATATTTGTTTTAAAAGGTTCGCTTTCTCACTGGAGTCACAGCCACTGACTTGGATGTGGGATTTTTTTTTGGACACCCTTCCCTGTTCAATCCGCAGAGGGTCAGAGAGAGGGAGGATGAGTTTTCTGTGGTGATTCCCCCAGTAGCAATAAAAAATAAATACATTTCACAAGCCACAACTCTAAGGTGCTATGGACAGACTTGATATCTCCGGGTACTTTGCAAACCTGCCGGGTTTCCAGGTGCTGATGACGTGGGAGAATTTCTTCTAGGAGGTGCTTTTGAAGAGGAGTAGGGGAAAAAAAAAGAGAGAAAGAGAGAGAAACAAAGCGCGAGAAGGAGGGATGAAAGAAAGGAAAGATTAAAAAGAGTAAAACATTAAAACATTAAAACAAACAAACAAAAAAAAAAAAAAAAAGGAAAAGGACAGAGGTGTGAGGGAGGAGGAGAACGAGAGGGGAGAATGAGAGGGGAGATCCAGGAGCAGAAGTGGAAACCAATAAAACTCTTGTTAAAGTGCTTGCTCAGGATCCACGGCGTCACAAGGTCTCTTACTTAGGAAGCCAAAGAGTTTTATTCCTAAATGAGTTAAAGAGCCATTTACCTCTGTCGTGTTCTATTCATCAAGCCACAAGTCGAGAGTCCCTAACATGAAACTATTTGTTTGCTTACACAACCAGCTGGGTGCAATTTCACGACTGAGATATCTATCTGAAAGCGCCTCTCATTTATTATCCTTACTTGTCAGCGAATCCATTTTCCAACTTTTTTTTTCACCTCCACGCCCATTCTTTCTTCCTTCATTGAAGGCTCCGGGTTTAAATGCTCCCTTTAAGCATTTCAGCACCCACTCCTTCTCCAGTCTGAGCACCTTCAGCGCAAAACAGCCGGGGAGCAAGTCTGAAACTGCGAAGGTGGGAAAGGCGACCACTTCCCAAGGTGGTCCCACTTTACAGCTCCTGCCCTTTTTTCCCTCCCTCCCGTTTCTCCCAAGGTGTCTCTGACAGTGCTGTGGAGTCACCCTCCGCTCCTTTTTAAGTGAGGGCATCGTGCCGGACATTTTTCTACGGCGGTCCCGGTGTGAGGTGTGGCCACCTGAAAATAAATTGCATTTTCTGCCTGTGAGAAAGGACTGTAGACACCCCCTCCCTGAGACTGCCGAAGGCACAGGAGGGTGGGCACCCTGGCTACTCTCGCTAGACCAGTTTTGGTGGTCACTGGGATGCAAGGGCTGGTGTGCGGAGGCGGGTGGTGGAGGAATTCCCAAGAAGGCTTGAGGAGGGATGTCAGGATCTCTTCTCTGGCATCCACGTGGTCTCCACTGGAAATACAAAGACACTACATATAACGGGCCCAATCAGTTTATAAAAGTAGTTGCGAGGAATGACAACAATTAGTAAAAGGGATGGTGGGAAATTATACCTCCCCGCCTTTTTCTTAGCCCAAATTTTGTAAAATCGGGGTAATGTGAGTAACGTTTCAAAGGTGGACTGTCTGGCTGACATTAGATTGGCTGTTAGTCATTTCAATGGTAGCTGTATAATCCATCATTGGATATACAATAATAACCTCCTCTCCTGTAGAACCCTCCACCAAACTTAAAGCAGCGGACCAAATTCAAAGCTACAGGTGTAAAATATCCCCAGCTGTTAAAAAGAAGGAAGAAGGGTGTAAGAGCAGGTGGGGGCAAGCTCCTTAGAGAAGAAGGGGGCTGCTGGCTGTAAGCTATGCTGTTATGTTATTTAGGAAGATATTTGCTGTATGTGACGTTTAAAGTGGATCACACCACCGCTGGACCAAACAAAGCCCAGACCAAAGCGCGGGGGTCACGGTCGACCGCAGCGAGGAGCGAGCTGCGTGTGTGTGCGTGTCACAGACCCTGCAGCAGCCCGAGTGCGTGTGCGGGTGTGCGCCAGGAGCCGACCTCGGCTGCATCCCGCTCGGCGAGCGCTGATTAGCATTTCCCGGCAGCCGTGCGCCAGCGCTGACAACTAACAGAGATATCCAGCTCACCATTAGGCCTTCTCCTTTTGTCTGCGAGCTGCCGGCAGCAGCGCAGAGCCCCGCGCCTCCGCTGCCCGCGCCGCGGCGGCCGCAGCAGCCCCGAGCTCCGTGCGCCGCGTCCGGCCGCAAGCTGCCGGCCCAGCTGCCCTGCCGGGGCCAGCGCCGCCCTTCCGCCCCGACCGTCCGTCCGTTCGTCCATCCATCCATCCATCCACCCATCCATCTATCTATCTATCTATCTATCTATCTATCTATCTATCTATCTATCTATCCATCCATCCATCCATCTATCCATCCATCTATCTATCTATCCATCCATCCATCCACCTATCTATCTATCTATCCATCCATCCATCCATCCATCCATCCATCCATCTATCTATCTATAATTTTTTCCCTTCCTTCCCCATGGGAGATTGAAGTGGGGGGCGCTTCCCGCGGACCCCAGGATCCCCATTCCCGTCAGGGTTCACAGCAAGTCAGGGCTGCTCTTTTTCACCTTGTTTTCTCACTTTTCCTCCATCTGTACTGCGGGATCGGGTGCGCCAGTGGCATCCTTCAACAAACACACGAGTCGCCCCATTTGCTCTCCTTTTGTCTTTCCCCCACCTGTGGTTCTTTTTGAGAGGTGAGATATCCCTTGAAACGCTTAACCAGCTCCACGCAAAGAGCCGATAAAGAAGGAGTTGGGATTTAAATTCACAGGCCACTAAAGCGCTTTAAGCTCCCAGTTTTGAGCCAAACTGCATTTCTTAGCGTCTGGAGAGCCACATCAACTTCCAGCAAGTAGCTGAGACTCCCTGAAGTGGTAAAAAAAAAAAAAAAAAAAAAAAAGCAGGTATTTTTTTCCCCCTGAGAGCCACACAAATTGGTCCATGTTGACAGATGTTTGTAACTTAGTAACTTCTTGAAGTTTTTTCTTTTATTTCTCCCCCTCCCCTCTTCTAAGCCTTCTTCCGAGCTTGCTTTGTTGTTTTAAAATATGCATGTCTCTCAGGAATGCAAGTCACGAGTCCAAACTTCGTGTCCAACCTCCCACAAGAAATGATCCTTTTATAAGGAACCCGATATGTCTCAATCTGCACTTCAGTCAAAGCCTCTGGATATAGGGCACTGGTCCCTGCTCAAAAATAACTCCACCAAAACGCCTTTCCACCTAAAAACCATGAATGACTCCCAGGGAAGACATGTATCTCCCATAATTAAAGGCGGCAGCACTCTGAGGGGAATGGAGCCTGGAGGAAAAGAAGAGGAAGGGGGGGAACGAAAAAAAAAGGAGGTGTGTGGGGCAGCAGAGAGCGAGAGGGATTTTTATTTCTGTGTTGGCTGCACCGGGCCGAGATTAGCAGCAGGTTTATCAAGACGAGCCTCTGTGGCAGCTCCGGGTGCGTGGGGAGAACGCGACAGCTCACGAGGAGCAGAGAAGAGGAGAGATTAAGGAGCAGAGTCTAACTCCGAGAAAAGAGTAAGTGACCCTCAGTACAATGCAGGAGCCAGGGGACCGCCGAGCTTTGAATCGGCAGCCAAAGTTGGGTTGCGAGCGCGAACAATGGCATGGGAATGGGGGGGAAGGGAAGCGCCAGGCCCGGGAGGCGGCGGGGCCGGGCACCCGCGTGGGAGCGCCGCGACCGCCGCTGCTGCCCCGCGGGGAGCGGGCACCGGCACCGGGACCGGGACGGGCATGGGCATGGGCATGGGCATGGGCATGGGACGAGGGTGAGGATGGGGCCTGCCCCAATTTATGTAGGGAATAAAAAGAAAGGGGGGGGGCGGGGGGGAGGCTAGAAAGGGAGAGGGAAGAAGGATGGGAGGGGAGCGAGAGAAACTTCCCAAGTGATGAGAAACAGATGAGCTCCTGCCTGGGTCACGTTTGCTCCCCGGTCCTGATGCGAAGTGACGTCAGGAGCTGCATGTCCTATCGCCGTCAGACGGAGCAGGACGGGCAGAGAGGCCTTGCCTCTGCCGCCCTTGCCTCCTTCTCCCCTCTCTGTCGGGGCAAACTCCCATCAGCATTTTGCGAAATCATGCCCTAAGAGCTCCTGGACGATGCGACACCTTTCCCTCCGTGTGCCACACCATCCACACTTCCAGCATGCGGAAAGCTCGGTAGGCCCCTGCGCCTATAGGATCTGGTACCACATTAGTTTCCAGCAATATTTACAGCACGGCTTTTAATACACACCAGATGGTTTCACGACGATGCTGCCCCAGCCAGTGAGATCTTTGATTTTAATTCAGCAGTGTTTTGTTACAATTATACTCGGTGCTGAGACCAATTTTATTGGTGACATTTATTTTTTTTTTCACATATCTGCGATACTTTATATTACAAAAAACCTCAAAACCTAACTTCTCTGCAGCCCCTTGGCACAGAGGCAAGGTGGACAGGAAGGCAGAAGCAGCGGCAGACAGCTTTCCTCAACCTCAATAACGAGATGCTCCTGTGTGTATACATGTGTGCACAGATAAATAATACATATGCATATTTATTCATTATATTTGATCAATAACGCTCATATTTGTTAAACCTCAATTGAGTGCACTCGCCTGCATGATAACAAACACAGGGCAATAAATATTGCATACGGTTAATTATTATGCCGGTGCATTATGCCTTGCTCCTCCTATGTACTCAGACCCCTCGTAAAACTCCTCGCAAACACAAACGTCTCTCGCAGATATTTTGCTGTGAAAAGGGAAAAACTCAGCCCCTTGAAGTCTCCGGGAATTCTTAAATATTGACAGGAGGAAACTGTGGCTAATATCTTCCTCCGAGCTAAACACACTGCTTTTAGGAGAGGAGAGAGAGGGAGAGAGCACAATCCTTGTCTAGAAAACATTCCAAGGCTTTTATTTCATTGCCCGGGATATGTTATCAGAAAGCTACATCCAGGGTCGCGTTCGTTTTTCTCCTGGAATTCCAAGACCTTTCTTTCTCTCTCTCTCTCTCTCTCTTTTTTTCCCTTTTCTTTTCCCTCTACGGCAGAGCGCCTGGTTACGGCGTGGCTGTGTAAATAGCCGATTTACTCCTTTGCAGGTGTGCTTCCCTCTACACGAATGCTTTCCCTGCTTCTACAGGAACTCACGTTTATTTCCTCTCCTCCCAAAATCACAGATGTTTATTTTATTGATGTAACCTATACCTTGGTTGTGCCAGGAATAATATGCCTCTACTAAAAATCATTTAGCAAATAATAGAGGCGTTCTGGATGGTTTCCAATTTACATATGTACTTGGTCATAATATATTATGTAAAAAAATAACATCTGCTTTCCTAAAATAAAGTGTTACAAGTAACTTTTAAAGAATGTTTCCCTCATTTTAAAAAGAAATAGGTAGACATAAACTGGAATCCATATGTATAGCATATTTACAATGGGTTTAAGATTTGAAGGTAGTCATTCATTGCGTAAGCCATTCAGAACCGACGTTTTAAAAGCTACTTAACCTCAGGCATTCTTGAATCTTAAAGGATTCCCAACGATATTATTTATAGAGGAATTTGCTGAAATTTAATTGCGTATCAAGACGGAAATGTGAGCAGGTATTTTACGTTTAGGCCACCTCGGATGCTGTGTTTAATACTGCTCCAACTCAGATTTTATTCTCCTGCGTCCTCAAAAGTCTTCCTCTTCTCTTCAGATCGGATGCCCAGAAGGTGCGATCCCTCCTCTTTCTCCTTCCTCAGCTTCCACCTTTGTCTAGGGGATGCAGCCGGTGCTTCCCGGCGATCCTCACACACGGGCTATTTTACCAAGTTTGTCCTTCGTATGGAGAGGAAGACGGGGTCTGCAAGCACCCACGTCTCTTCGCTCTGTCTGCAGTAAAAGGCCAGAGCCACTGCCGATGAGCCACCGGAGTGTTTTGCAAATGTTCTCTGTACCCAAAAGGAGCCTCTACTGTTTCCCCCCGGAAAGGGCTTCGAGGTGCTTCCCCTCTCCTTGCGTCCTCAAAATTGAGATGACAAAACCGATCAAGTCTGGGGAAGGGCGGGCACACTGCAAGGCGACCCCAGCCGGGGCTGAGGCACTGGAGGGGAGGTGCACCTCTGGGAATGCCGCTGCACCTCTGGGAATGCCGCTGAACCCGCACGGGCTCGGGGCATGATGAGAGGAACACAAACCCCAGTCCATTCTACCCCCAGGGCCCAGACGCGGGTCTTGGGGAGGGAGCCTCTAAGTGGCCCCACGGCTGTGTCCTGCCCTGGGCTGCCTCAGCAGCCGGTTTCGGTAGGGGACGAGGCGCGGTGTCTGCCGGCCCGCAGGGTCCCTGCAGCCTCCCCGCACGCCCGTGTGCGGGGCGGGCAGAGCAGGCAGGCCTGCGCAGGGGGGCTCAGGAAGCGGCCCCTTCTCAGCGTCTGGGTGCTTGCTAAAATTTCTCTCCCCCCCCCTCCCCCAGCCCCTCCCCTTTTCTGTCATTTTCCCCTCCTTTCTACCCCCAGAGCCCGATCAGAAAACCACTGCTGACACGGACAGTGGAGTTTCCAGCGATCTGCAGAGATCCTCTGCTATCTACTTTAGGGGGTTCATTGGGTCTCTTTGCTACCGAGGCTTATCCAGGGAAATGTGGACTTAGGGATAAGCAGGGAAAAGCACAGTACAGTTTCTGAAGAGAAAAAAATATGGCACCAAACCACCCATAACCCTAACTATCTGTAAAAAAAAATTTAAATATGTTAAATGAAACAGAGTTTGAATTTATGTGGAGCCAGTGGACAGAATGTGGACAGAGACACAGAGAAGAGTCACGCCTTTAGGACAGGAGGTCTTTATTTGTAGATGGTGTATTTATGGAAAAGAAAGGGAGCTTCTTACAAAGGTCTGACTCTACTGTGGATAACAAAACCTGTCACGTCTTTACTTAGTGCCAGAGAAGCGTGAGTGCCCTAATTTGGACATCTACAAAGTGATTATTATATACTTCTCTGAAAAATCACTTTGTGGGAATAAGTCTAGAACACAACCAAAAAACATGCCGAGGGTGAAAAGGGAAAAGGGAAAGGGAAAGGGGAAAGGGGACACAGAAAAGTGAAGAGGGAAGAGGGGAAAGAGGAAAGGGGAAAAGGGGAAAGGGGAAAGGGGACACAGAAAAGTGAAGAGGGAAGAGGGGAAAGAGGAAAGGGGAAAAGGGGAAAGGGGAAACGGGGAAAGTGAAGAGGGAAGAGGGAAGAGGGGAAGGGGGGAGGGGGGAGGGGAAGGGGAAGGGGAAGGGAAGGTTCCGGGAAGGGAAGGGAAGGGAAGGTTCCGGGAAGGGAAGGGAAGGTTCCGGGAAGGTTCCGGGAAGGGAAGGTTCCGGGAAGGGAAGGTTCCGGGAAGGTTCCGGGAAGGGAAGGTTCCGGGAAGGGAAGGTTCCGGGAAGGGAAGGGAAGGGAAGGGAAGGTTCCGGGAAGGTTCCGGGAAGGGAAGGGAAGGGAAGGGAAGGGAAGGGAAGGGAAGGGAAGGGAAGGGAAGGGAACGTTCCGGGAAGGGAAGGGAAGGTTCCGGGAAGGGAAGGTTCCGGGAAGGGAAGGGAAGGTTCCGGGAAGGGAAGGTTCCGGGAAGGGAAGGGAAGGTTCCGGGAAGGGAAAGAAAGGAAAGGAAAGGAAAGGAAAGGAAAGGAAAGGAAAGGAAAGGAAAGGAAAGGAAAGGAAAGGAAAGGAAAGGAAAGGAAAGGAAAGGAAAGGAAAAAAGGAAAGGAAAGGAAAAAAGGAAAAGAAAAAAAGGAAAAAGGGAAAAGGGAAAAGGGAAAAGGGAAAAGGGAAAAGGGAAAAGGGAAAAGGGAAGGATTTGTTTGCACTCTGTCCACGTCTTATTTTACTTTCCTAATGCTGCTGGAGTATCCTTCTGTCCGCAGTCTCACTCAATGAGCTTTCATTAGTGTAAACAACCCCTGCTTTAAAATTATAGATTAGCACGAGGTTAAGGGCCCGGGGGGGGGGGGGGGGGGTGGGGAGAATGAGCAATACAGTACACAGGTTTTAAAAAATCTTATTTTTGACCCAATTCCAAGATGTCAAAACTTTTCCTTTTTTTTTTTTTTCTTTTTTTTTCCCCCTGAGAGTGTGAAATGAAGGACACAATGGTGGTGGCCACCATGAAGAAGTGGCCTTTTAATGACTACTAAAGAAAACCAAAATGTAGCTGAAATGTACCGCAAAAGCTGCTTCAAAGTACAATCTAATTCCGCTGAGTTCAGTCATCAGATAGATCTGGTAATTGGGAGTTGCACAGAGGCAAGGCAGCATGGTATGGAGAACCTTGTGCTTCTTCCCTTCAGTAACTGTAGATATATTTCACAGACTGCATTAGCACAAACCCGTGGGATATTAGAGATCTCTGACTCCTGCAAATAAATGAAGACCCAGTCTTCACCATAACAAAAAAAAAAAAAAAAAAAAAACAACAAACCAAACCAAACCAAATCAGATCAAATCAAATCAAACCAAACCAAACGAAACCAAACCAAACTAAACCAAAAACAAACAAAAAACAAACTAAACAAAAAACAAACAACCAAAAAACTACCAAAAATAAAAACAAAAAATCCCCAAACACAACCAAAAAGAAAAAATAACCCCAGGCAGACTACCTGCATACTCCAAGCTACAAAGGTTTTTTTTTCCTTTTCTAATTGTCGTCCTGGTTGCATATGGACTCTAGATAATAGCATCTACTAGATGTTGCTTTCTTTTTTGATATTTGCTTCTGTGTCTGGCTGTCATTTTTGTGTGTATTTTCTGACTTTGGCTTTTGCTGTATCACAAAAGTCTCCACAAGCAGCAGAACGGCAAATTCAACCAAAAACCAGACCAATTTTCTCATCGATGTGTAATAAAATTAAAGGACATTGTTTTGTCAGATGAGCACCAAGTCGGAAATAAATGCTTGAGTCCGGAGAAACAAAACGGAGTGCTGTTGGCGCGTGTGTAAATTTATTTTTAAAGCAATAAATCAATGGTAATCTAACAGCTGGGCTCGCTATCTCGGAGGAGGTTTTACGTTTGGGCAAGCCTCAGCAGCGAGGTTCAGCCGGACACGCCGGGCGCCGAGCGCGCCCTCGGGTGCAGAACTCGGTCCCCTCGCCGCTGGCTGCGCTGCAGCCGGGACGGGCGGCGGGGACACCGAGGGACGCGGGCAGCCCGGGGGTGCTCACAGCCCGCCCCGCCCCGAGCACCGGGGATTGCCCGCCAGGAGCCCTCGGGGGACTCGCACCCGCGCCGAGCATCGCGACCTGTCGAAATAGCCCCAAACTGTTATTATCCAAGTGCTAATTTCATCATTTCCGCACCACGAGGCAGTTGCACGACATGCAGGTGGCCGCGGTCGAAAGGGGCAGGAATCTCTGCTTTTTCAGTCAGAACTTTCCATTTTGAGAATGCTCACAGCGAGTGTGAAGAAGTTGGGTGCACCTGCTCGCCACGGGACCCCGGGCGCCGCTTGTCTAATCACATCTGCTTTCTGTTTCCAGAAATGCTGAGCGAGGTGGAGGGAGAAGAAGAGGGGGAGAGGGAGAAGGAAGGGAGAAAGTATGATAGACAGAAGGAGTGAAGCAGGAGAGAAAAAGAGAGAAAGAATGAGAAAAAGAGAGAAAGAAAGAGAGCGGGGAGGGAAGGGAAGCAAGAAAGAACAAAAATGAGAGATTTCTTTCCACAAAGGAAAGAAAGAAAGAAAGAAAGAAAGAAAGAAAGAAAGAAAGAAAGAAAGAAAGAAAGAAAGAAAGAGAAAGAAAGAAGGAAAATGTTAGCGACCTGCAGTAACATCCTAACATGAATGATACAGATACATCATGAATCAATAAGATACTGAAACCACCCGAACAACAAAAAGCAATATCGCAGTAGATAAACCGGCATGGTTTTCTGTTAGGATATATGACAGAAGATTTTGAAATAATCGAGCAACCTCTAGAACGGCTTTAAAATAAAGATATTTTTACACAGAGGCGTGAATTGGTGTTAATAATTTTCTTCAAAACACTCTAGAGATGGTTCGGGCGAATGGTTTGTGGCGACTCCTCGACAGTGGAACCCTCTGTCCAGCTTGCAGACGATGCTTCGGTGTCTGCACGCCACCCACGACTTGAATTATTTTGCAGAAATAATTCGAACACGACGTAGAAGCTATTTGTTTGTTGGTTGGTTTGAGGGGCTTTTATCCCTGGGATACCTATAAGTGTGAGAAACAAAAGTGACACTCGATGGGATGGGAGCCGCAGCGGTCATTTAATACGCCCTGCCTTTGTTTAGCTGTCTATGAGAGGAGGATCTAAACACCCGGTAAAGTTTGTTCGCCTGTTTGTCTGTCTGAAGATAAGGGCATTGGAGTTTCTAAGTTTCACGCAGGGCACTGCTGCTGCTATCAAGTAACATTCAAAGCAGCCTATTCGGTTCCCCTTGACAAATCTCCTCGGCTCTTTGGGCGCGCTCGCCCCGCACCCCGGTTGCGCCGTTGCTCCTCACGGTAGCACCGAGGAGGCGTTTTGGCGCTTTGCTTTTTTTGTCTACTTTTTTTTTTTTTCTGTGCGTTCCGGGTTGGCGAGTCCTGGGGGTGAACAGGCAGGTGCGCGCCGCTCTCCCCTCCACGAATCCCACAGCCCGTAAAGTGTTCAGGTGGAATTAATTAAAAGTAATTTTTAAAAGGAAGAACAGAGCCATCCCTTCCGCTGCCGAAGAGGCGTTGCCCCGCGCCTCCCCCGGCCCCGCCGGGCCGCCGCTCCTCTCCCTCTCCCTCTCCCTCTCCCTCTCCCTCTCCCTCTCCCTCTCCCTCTCCCTCTCCCTCTCCCTCTCCCTCTCCCTCTCCCTCTTCCTCTCCCTCTCCCTCTCCCGCTCCTCTCCCGCTCCGCTCCGCTCCCCGCGGCCGCCGTTCCCGCGGCGGGGGCTAGGGGGCGCTCTGCCTCGCCGCACCGCTGCGCGCCGCCCGCGGAGCGCCCGGACCGGAGCGGGCGGGACCGGAGCGGGTCGGGTCCTGTCGGGTCCGGTCGGGTCGGGTCGGGTCGGGTCGGTACTGGACGGGGGCGCTGCGCCCTCGGTGCCGCGGTGCCCCGCGGCGGGGAAGGCAAGGGCGAGGTCTCTCCCTTTCACGGATGCCCCGAAGGCGCTGCCTCAGGCCCTGGTGGCCCACGGCTGAGGGCGCGGGTCCGTGGGCTGGGAGTGATGTGCCGCGGAAAAGGCTCTCGGGGACTCGCCTGGCAGGAATACCAACATGTCCTCTGTAATTATCCCTGTATCTCTCTGCCACTAACCAATCCACACAATCGTGATGCATCCCAAACCCAGATGCAAAAAAAATCACGGGCCTTGGATCTTTCTGAGCCATTCTGTGTAATTTTTATTACTTTTCTTTTTCAAGGCTAGCGTCAATAGCCGATGTAAAGACTGATAATGCTAAATTGGGTGTGCATGTGTGTGTGAATGTGTGTTTATACTTCGAAAAAATCTCCCCTCATCTTGCTCGGACTCTGTTATAACCCCATACTAAAAGACTAAATGTCACTTCAGTACAGAAAAAAATATCTTCTTGCAGGACAGATGTTTTAAAAGTTGTGGTGGGACATAACGCCAACAGAGTGAATCAGGCTTCAAACCACCAGTGCTCTGCGGGATCCCCACGGGCGCTGTCACTGCTGTCATTATTGTTAACGGATCAGGGAGGCTACCACAGTTTGCTTCTATCCTTCCTGCGAGACTTTAAGGAGAAGTGGTATATGAGATGGGAAAAAAAAGTAATGGTAAACATTGAATCATGCAGATAAAGCATGACTGGGATGCTACTGAATTGCTTGTTTAATTTTCTCAGAAACGTGGTAGCTCCTTTCTCAGTGGGATGAATCCGAAGGAGTTGGAGTGGCCTAACTGATAAACTTTACTAGCGATTTTGGGTCGGATTATTCAGATTTGGTGCTGTGGGATCTTTGTGCTCTCTCTCTCTCTCAATAGGTGTTACGCTGTAACTAGGAGGCGCTGGAAACGTCAGGCAGAAAATCTACGACTTGATCAGTTCCAAACCACACACACACGCGTGCACACACGCACACGCACGCACACACACGCACATAAAATCTGCTACTGTTGCAAACATATGTTACAGATTAAGCTAAGCAAATGGCTCTAGTTTTGCTAGGCTGAAAGTTGATAATGAGAATTTATATGTAGAAGAGTTTGGCTCTTGTTCTAACTCCATTTACTTACATACTAACACATCCCTCCCATTTTCCCAGGAAATTAGAAAAAAAATAAAGAAGTCTTCTAAATTTCATCCAGCTGGGAAGAGTGCCTTGACAATTGCCCTTCTACCGAAGCTGTGCCTGTCCTGAGCTTCGAATTTGTCGCCAGAGAAGCTCGGCCACGTAATCGTTTCAGGGAAGAGCAAGCAGAGGGCTCGGAGCTTCCCCACTGGCCCCGCGCCCCAGCCTCTCCCGCCGCGCCCAGGCACAGCCCCGCTCCTTATCGCGGGTGTCACGACAGAAAGACGAGCAACCCTTTTCCCGAAGCCCTGTCAGCACCGCAGGAGTTTGGATTTGTTTTCCTTTCCCTTCTTTCTCGTTCTTCCGCAGCACAAAAATCTTCACGGCAAGGTTACTTAGTGCCCCCTACGCTGACGAGGAAGGTTACGGCGACTAGTGAACTTTCAGGAGGAAGGCTACGTCCCAAGCCCCCTCTACACTTTGTTTCCTGTTCCCAGCCCCCCGAGCAGACGGCCCCGCTGCTCCCCTCGTTGGGGAGATGCGCGTTCGGAGCCTCCCAAAGGCGCCTTGCCTCGTGTCGCCGCCCGGCGACAGGACAAGCCCCGTCCGCTGTCGCGCCCGGCTCCCGGAGCCGTGCCCAAGGGGTGTCGGGTCTGTCAGCGAGGCAGCGGCGTGTGGGGGATCCGCCAGCGATCAGGAACGCGCAGGGACCCTCCCCAGCCACCTCCTGCTTCCCCCACCCCGAGCAGGCGGCGTGGATGTGACATTGACAGATGGCCGAAAGACAGAAAAAGTAATTTTAAACGACTTTGAAAGGTTACGGGAAGAGAGGACAAGGGGGACTCCAGATTCCTCCTAGGGCTAGGGTCGGAGAATGAACATATGTTCATTTTTCCAAAGAGACAGCAGCAGGAGAAAATCTCCAAAAGGGAAGATAAAACACATTTGCTCTGTTTGTACAGGAAACTTTCTGTGCCCCCCGGGAGAAGGGAAGCCTGGAGGGGGGAAGCGCGTTTGAGCTGCGCTTTCCTTGCCGCAGAGCTCTTTCCTCTCCGAGCCCCGGTCGGGCTCCGCGTGGGAGCCGGTCCATGGTCACGGACACGAGCGGCGAGCGGGCTGGGCCGGGAGCGCGGGGAGCGCCGGCTCGGGACAACAGCCGGGGAAAACACGGTGCTGGAAACAGAGAGAATAACAGAGATTTTTGAAAAACCCATCCCCAACACTTAAATACTACAAACC